CAAGAGCTCGACGCGACGCGAGTGGATGGAGCACCTCGGGCGCTCCGCGAAGTCGGCCTTTCGCGTCTAGCCGCATGCCAATGCGGTAGTGCAGATGGCTTATAAAATTGACGTGCAGTCCCATGGCTGCGACCCTGTGCTTTGTTGGATAACCCCGAACCTGCAAGTGATAGAGCGCCGCCAATCGCGCCGAATGATCCGCGAGGGAAAGAAGGAGGGGCGGGTGCGCGGCTGAACAGCGATGTGAGAAGACAGGCCTCACATAAAATAAGCGCGCAGTCCTAGGGCTTCGACCCAGGGTTTCGTAGGATAACCCCAAATCTGCAAGAGAGTGAGAGAGAGAGAGCGCCGCCGTCGCGTCGAATGAGCCGCGGGGAAGGGGGGATAGGTGCACTGCAAGTCAGTAGACTGTCTTAGCGGTCTGACTGTAAGTGAGCGCGCCTGTATCTACCAAGTCAGATGTGACCCATCTGCGGCAATTGGACGGGAGGAGGTACTGGTCGTGAATGTCGCGGTATCGTGTAGTATTGCCCACTCCTGGTTGCGGTGGATCGTCGCGTCGTTTGCGCGAACGCACCTGCGTTGGTGGTCGTCGGTTTGGGCTTGGGAGTGGCCTTGTGTAGCGATGCCGCGCATTTGGGCGGCGGCCCCCAGAATGGCGCTCCAGGCGCGCGTTCGCGCGAGCTGTCGAGGTAGCTCTCGTGGCGGGCCTGGTGCGCGCGAAACCTGGCGATGCAGTCCTGGAACGTAGGGTCTCCAACCTCGTTGGGGAAGCTGATGCGTCGGTTGAAAATGTGGATCTGGTGTTCTCCTCGTCACGCCGCCCTGCGGTGCGTTGCGATTGATTGTGCTGCGATCGTCGGGAAGTGCGCGCGCCGCGTCGCCCTCGTTTGCGGGGCAAGCTGTCGCCAGGGAACATATTGCATCCCTTGTTGGGCGTTGGTATCCTCGTCTGGTGGGTAAATGATGGCCATTTCAAGTGCGGGTTGTGGTGGACGCACCGGTATGAATAGGTGTGATGGTGACAATTTGATCATAGTGGTGAATGTGGGCGAGGTCGTCTTTGGTGGTGCTGTTGCGCTGTTTCTTTTGGTCGTGTCCGGTGGCTGTTGTGCTGTCTGGCTAGCTTGTTCAATCAGGTGAGCTGGCGGTGGTTTGCAGGGTCTCTGGTTAGTCGTAGGCATGATGGTCGCGGTCGTTTTGCGGACGTGACTACTCGGCACAGGTTTGCTTGGGATCGTGTTCTGTTGTGGTTGCGTGGGGGCGCGCGGCGATCTGCTTTGTGATTGCTGGTGGTGTCGGTCCACGTGGTGTGTTGAGTGGCTGCGTAGGTTGGGGCTCTGCTGCGTTGTTCTGTGCGGCGTCGTTTGGTTTGGTCGGACTCGTTGAGGTGTCGGGTACGTCCCAAGAGGGCGGTGGCGCGGGTGCGAATGGTTTGGGCCTGCTGGGTTGCGATGATGCTGGTGGTGGTTAGGTTGGAAGTTGCTGCGTCTGTTGCTGGGTATTGGCGTTGCTCTCCCTGTCGGTGGAGCTTCCGCTGTCATTGTGCTTGTTGGTTGTGCATCTCCTTGGGAGAGTCGGATTGCAGATGCGCTGTAGTAGGTTGGCTGCGTCGCGAAGGCACACTGTCCAGTCGTACTTCATGATGTCGCGCTCGTCGTGGCATGCGTTGAGCCACTGTGCAACTTCTTGTACGGCGGCGATCTTGACGTTGTCGAGCGGTGCTTGTCCTCCTGCGATCAGCGCGATGAGGTGCCTGTAGGTCGTGGCAACTTGTACCCGTGGTGTAAGGCTGCCACAGTAATTTGCCGCGAACGCCTGAAGGTCGTTGGCGTATTTTGTGAAGGTCGGTTGCTTGGGCGGTTTGTGAATTGGCTGGCGTGCGTCTGCTTGAATGGCGTCTTTTAGTTTGAGCCTTTTTGTGCTTGTTGTCAATGGCCGTCTGAAGGTCGATAGTGGCGTGGCTTTGGATTCAGGTCCGAGTGGTAGGTGCGGTAGGCATTGCTTGCCGTCATGTTGGACAAACATCTCGTTGCTGTACTTGTTCAGGGATCTGTGCCAGCCGGGTAGCAGTAGGTCGTCGTTTGGGAATATGTAGGTGTACGTGTTGGTTGCTTCGTGGTAATATACTTCGCGGTGCCAGCGGTCTTCTTCCTGACCTTCCGCGCCTGTGTCGTCGGCGTAGTGGCAGTATGTTGTCCAGCCGCTGTGAAGGTGCATTTCGTGGTATTTGATAGGTTTGAGCGGTAATAGACAAACTTCCTTGAAGTCGGAAGCTCTGTTCGTCGTGACCCATGGGTCGTGCTTGTCGCCGTTGTCTTCTGATTCGGTAGTGTCGTGGCACAGGTTGGAGTGGTCCAGCCAATGGTAGCGTTGTTCGTCTTGGTTGGTCTGAGCCAGTGGCGTCGGCATCTTTCCCGGCTCTGGTGGGGTGTAGCCATGGCTTGTGTCGCACTTCTGTTTGGCATGCTTGGCTTTCTTTTTCTTGAAAATGAGGTGTGAGATGGTCTGCTCTGGTGCTCACATTTTCATGTGGCCGTTGCACTTGTGACGCTCTTTTTCCAGCTAGTCGTAGTGGTGTTTTTGGATGTCGTGTCGTTATGCGATCTGTTGCTGCACAGTCGTAGTGCTCGTCGACGGGAGGCAGGTCAGTGCGAAATCGGAACCCGTCGTTTGTCTGCGTGCACCTCGGATGTTCGCATTCGAATTGAAGGGTCCTTGAGGGCTCGGCAGGACGCTGGAAGGTTCGGCCATGATTTGCGACGGGTTGCTGTAGTCATGTATAACACTGCGCTTGCTAGGGTGGGGCTCCGTGATGGGTGTCGATCTCTGGTGGGCGCTTGGAGCTTGTAGTGCGTCGGTGGCATACGTCCTTTGTGGTAGTGTGGTTTGAATCGTGCAGTGCCCTCTCATTGGTTGAGCATGCGACGTTCGTGCGTTGTGACGTCTTCGAGTTCCACGTAAGTCGGACTCTGTCGCGGTCGATGTCGTCGCTGGGCTTCTGCGAGGTGCCGTTGATGAGTTGACTTTTTCGTGAGAATTGCGGTGATTCTTCGTCGTCGATGAAGGGCTGGTTGTCGGGTCTGTAGTCTGCTTTCCTGTAGCGATGTATTTCCATCGGCCGTTGCGACCAGTGGAGCTCGACGTCGTGGTGCGAGCATGGGTACTTCCAGCCATTGAGGGCCGAGGTGAGTCGATCGTATAGTAGGTTGAAGTAGTGCTTGTTGTTATCTGGTAAGTATGCGATCGTAATGCGCGTCTCCCTTCTGGCTTTGGCCCATCCCTTGCTGGTCGGTGCTGGCAGGTATTCTTGGCCACGCCGTCGCGCAGTGTTTCTCGATGTCGTCTTCGGTCACCAGGTCTTGTTTGCCTGGTTCAACGTGTGCTCTTTGTAGCTGAGCGCAGTCGGGGTCGCATGTAGATGGCTTGGCAGTGCGTAGTAGGTCTAGCCCGTAGTCCTGCTGCGGTTTCTTAGTAATGGTGGTACTGTTCTCGCTGCCGCCGTCGATGTATTGCTTATTGGATTGGCGGTATAGTGAGTCAATCAATCATGCATGTGCGTTCCTCTATGATGTCGTCGTCCTTCTTGCGTGACCACGTCATGTGGATCGTCAAGGATGGTATGAAAGCAAACCGTGGCGTTGTGGCCCATTTACCCTCCAGTATATCACATGCATTGCAACTGGCCTAGTTGCATGAGGGCGCCGTCGGAAGCATTGTGCTGAGGACGCACGTGAGAGCGAGCATATCAGCAACTAGCTTGAACCTGATGGTAACGGTGGCAAGTATGCGTAAGAAATTGTGATTGACGTCAACTGTCGTTCAGAAAATATGGCATCCATGACGTCATTGGTGCCTTCCCACGGCTCTGTCCCGACGCCTCTCCCCTAGGTGAGCCCCATAGGGCTCCCGCGCAGGGCATGGGGCCATGCTACCGGAATAACTGCAAGAAGCTGTGAGAGTCTTGATATTGTTGTTTTGACCAAGGCTCTGTGCGTGTACTGGTCCGCCATGTCTGTAAGCCACTTGTTGCATCCTGATCCTCTTTCCAAATTTGTGTCCTTGGAGGCGTGTGAGTAGAATTTGCTGCATTCCAGAATGGTATGCGATCGTAACGAGGTATGTAGTTGTAGCCGCGTGTGTTATGATTGCGGTATGCAAGGTCTTGTCAGAACGATCGTGATATCATGAAGCAATGCCTGAAGCCGACTGGGTTGCGTCGCAGGTCGGATGCTCGCCCGTTTTTACTCTACCATTTCCTCTGCGCATGCCCCTCCCCCATGTGTGCCTCTCTGGGCTCCTATGCAGGGTATGGGGCTGTCGTGCGGGTCGCAGATGTGGGTGTTCTGCCATTGCTTGTGCGTCGTAGTGCTGGTTCTTTCTGTGCTGTTGGAGGTCATGTGCGAATGGTCTGGTGGAGTGACTTGGGCAGTATGACAGAAGTCACGTCGGCCGTAAAGCTATGGACAGTATTGATGCCTCTCCCCCAGGCATGCCCGATCGGGCCCCCATACAGGGCATTAGGCTCTCCATCGCAAGCGTCGTACTTGAGAGAGACTGCCTGCGGAAGCACTGGGTTGCTGTGGAATCAGCTTGCCGTAGGGGCATCATACTGACCGGTTGTGATGCATGCAAGAGTATGCCTTGTCTACAGCGGCGTGCGAGTTTCTTGGGCCTTGTAATGTATCTTATAAGTGTATTCGTAGGCGCGTGAGATATTTGTTATGTAAGTCAGGGATCTCAGAACCGTAACCGCTGTATGTGCTAGCGCCGCTGTGTGGGTATGGTTGCTATATGCAGATGCTTTACCTAATAAATGTGATAACCTGGAACAACATAAAGTTATCTGAGAGAGTAGCAATTGTCTGCCCATTTCATGTCTCCGTTGCCCATGCCTCTCCCCCGGGAATGCCGCTCTGGGTTCCCATGCAGGGTATGGGGCTGTAGCTCGCGTGAGTCGTCGATGTGGGCGTTCTGATGTGCCAGCGCAGCGTGTTGCTATGTCTGATGTGCTGCTGGAGGTCATGTGCTTGAAGTCAGGTTGAATGCTTGGGTAGTATGGGAGTCGCGCCGACTGCGGTAAGTTGGTCAATGTTGACGCCTCTCCCCCAGGTATGCCCGATAGGGTTCCCATACAGGGCGTGAGGCTGACAGTGCAAGACATTACGCATCGAATATGAGAAGAATATGTCTGTGAACGCAAACGTCATCACTGTATCGGCTTACTGCGGGGGGCACATGTATGTGAGGGTATACCATGTCGACCGCGGCGTGTGAGTGACCCTGGAAGCATTATACTGTGCGGGTCCGATCTGAAACATAGGCGCGTGAGGTATTCGCTTCCCTCCCATCATGAAGTGTATGTCAATGAGAGCGGTAACGTAACAATATGCATGTATTTGTATGGTTGTGTATGGTATGACCGCGGTAGAAGTCTTTGTTGGTAGAGGCGAGTAAATATTGATCCGTGTATTTTCATGCTCATTGTTCCAAACTCAAATGCCCCCTCCCCCAGGTAAACCGCGTGGGGCTCCCATGCAGGGTATCGGGTGTAGTAGATGTCGTTTTCGTAGGTATCATGAAGACAGTGCTGTTGGGATGTGCTGAATGTGCTGGTAGCGGTCGCTGGGCTAGGGTAGTTGTTTGCCGCTGCTGTGCGTTCGTGGGCCACTTGTGATGTCAGTTTGGGAGTACGCTTTCGTGCGCGTAGTTGGTTGTATATTGTGTTGGTGCTGGGTATGTATAGGTCCACTTTTGCGAGGTCTTCTACAGGTATGGGTCGAGGGGTAGGTAGCCTTGAGTGCCCTTTGTGGTATGTGAAGCTGGGAAGTGTGCTAACCTGTCTGATATGCATGTGGTCATCGTGCAGCATAGCTGTGTTGGGATGTTGTGGCTGCCGTTGGCTCAGGATGAGTAGCCACATGGGTGTGCCGCACATGTGCATATGTTGCCGTTGTGGGTGAAGCTGAGTGTTTGTGCAAGTTGTGGTAGTTGCCATGTGCTTATTTGCGTTGTGCTCTGCACGTGGTGGCCCATTGTGCATAGGTCAAGTGTGTTGTGTTGAGCAAGGCTGCGTAGCAGACTGAGCTGTGTGGTGGTCCAGATGCTATGCTGCACTCTGATTTGTTCGGTTTTGGTCATCATTTTGGTTGGTGTTTTGGTATGCTGTGCTGCTGCTATAAGTAGGGTTGTGCTCTGTAGTCTGCGGTTGAGGTTGCGTGTTTAGAGTGGCTGTGCAGTCGGTCGATTTTGGTATCCCCAGTATGCATTGTTGTGGCGTTGAGTATCGTTTCGATTAATAGTGTCGTCGATGACTGCTATGAGTGCTGCTACTTCGCCTTGAACGATATTGCCCATCCATGTCTCCGCTGTGTGCTGATGTGCCATGTCGCAGCTTGTGGTTTCTGTTGTGTCGTGGGTTGGAATAGTCAGGTCGGTGCTGTTGTTGTCTTTTGTAATTGGCCGGGATGGTAACAGGTATGGTCGTTGCGTCGTGTAGTAGTTCTTTGTTGCGATTGTCCTTGCTCCTCCTCCTCCTCCTCCTCCTCCCTCTCCTCCTCCTCCTCCTCCTCCTCCTCCTTCTCCTCCTGCTCCTCCTCCTCCTCCTCCTCCCTCCTCTTCCCCCCCTCCCTCCTCCCTCCTCCCTCCTCCTTCCTCCCTCCTCACTCCTCCCTCCTCCCTCCTCCCTCCCTCCTCCTCCCTCCTCTCTCCTCCCTCCATCCTCCCTCCTCCCTCCGCCCTCCGCCCTCCGCCGTCCTCCCTCCCTCCTCCGCCCTCCTCCCCCCTCCTTCCTCCTCCCTCCTCTTGTGCCCAAAAACGGCTCATGGTGAAAGATTGGTCCTGGGGGACGAGGGTGGGGGGGTGCACGGTATCAAGGGACAGGGGCAGAGGTATATGCAGTTGGGTTCGAGGGAGAAGAACTGCATACGTATGATCTTTCGGCGCTCCGCGCGGATTTCTTGGATCGACGTTGGGCTCCCCCCCGCGGCGCCGGCGCCGGACGGGGCTCAGCACGGTCCGAGAAATCCGCGCGGAGTTCCGAAGGTTTATGTTCATGCAGTTCTTTAATGGGTGCGGGGCGACCATCTCAGGGGGGGAGCAACACATGTATCCCAGGGCGCCGATAGTCAACGTCTTCGGCGAGGCTCCTCAGGGAATGCGCGTGATGCCCGCCCCTGGGATGCATCGCTCGAGTAGGGGGGGATCGACTCAGAATTGATGTGCCCCGCCCCCAAATTGATTTTCTCGTTCGGCAAATGCGTAGGATTTTCATAGATCTACGAACGTTATATAGACTTGTCTGGCTTCGACTAGAATATCGAATTTGGGGTACGTCGACTCTACTCGAATCACCGCTGCCAGCGTCTCTCGTTTCCCCGGCCTATTGCTTGTCCCCTCTCTCTTTCCGGCGTGGGTGTTCGTGGTCTCTTGGAAGGCCAGGGGTTTTCCGAGCCTTCTGAGAAGGCCCGCCCCTTCTCACTCCCCCCCGGGCTCGCCGCCGAGAAGGGCGGGGGATATCATGTCGGGGGCCATGGTATCTCCCAGATCTCATGGCGCCTCTCCTTCTCTCAGTGCGTCCCCTGGGCCGCGCCTTGGGCCGCGCACATGCCTCGGGCCATGATTTGCGACACCCCCCTCGTGGACGCCCCCCTCTTGGACGCCCCCGATCCGCACGCTGCATCTCTCCACCCCCCCAGGGAGGGAGGTTTTTCTCGCCGCCCCCATCACCTGCTTCCATGCGGCACCTCCCGCCACATGAGGTGGGCGTAGTGTGGCGCTCGTAGCCCCGCGCCTGGACACGCGGTATGCGAATCCTTTGTCCTCTCCCTCTCTCCCTCTCCCTCGGCCTTCGCCGCCCGCCCTCCCCTCCCCTCCCGGCGGAGGCTGGCGGGGGGAGCCCGCGCATCGCCCCGCCAGCTTCGGGGACCGCAGGGGGGAGGCGGAGCATGGGGGAAGGTCAGGCGCAGGGAGGGGGACGCTCTGGATCTATCAGGAGGCGAACAAAAACACAGACACAATTAATCGTCCACTCCCAGGAAAATATGGGAAAATATGGGCAGTGGGGGGGAAGACAGAAGCCCAGAAAATATGGGAAAATATGGGGAATCCTTTTATTTGTGTATTTATTTGTGTGTCCCAGGACCCCTTCAATCTAGGCCTCCCAGCCTGGGTCCGAGCAGATGGGGTCGGAGGATCGCGCCGCATCGCCTATGCATCGGCGATGCGGCTCGATGTGGAGCCCGATTTCTTCGTGCCGACTTCGCCGATGCGTCGCCGACGTCGCTGATGTCTCAGCGATGCGGCGCGATCCTCCGACCCCATCTCTTCGGACCCCATTTACGAGGCTACTACAGGGGGGGGTAGGCTTAACGTTTGAGGTTCGAGGTTCTCGGTCGTTTTCGGCGGGTTTCTAGTCTCGGGATGCTCTCCAGCAGCTGCGCCTCGTCGAGAGCGTTCCGGAGGTGCCCAGATCCTGCCGAACGGCCGCTGGAGAGCTGAGCTATGACCCAGAAACCAGTGGGCAGCGTAAGGGGGGAAAAGGCTCAGGGGGGGATGCACCGACTCCCTCACGCCCACTTATCGCCGACAGGGGCCCGATAGCCCACCCCGCCCAGGACCGTGCGGCTTCGCTATCGGAGACCTATCGCCGACGCATCGACGATGTATCGCTGATTCTGTTCCCCCCCCCCTCGAGCCAGTCCCACCTTATCGTCGCCCCTCAGGGAGGAAAGAGGGATGTGGCATGAAGGGGGCAAATGGAGGACAGACGTTGTAGGGTGAACGGTGGAGGAGGCGGTCGAGAGGGAGGGAGGAGGGCGGAAGAGAGGCAGGGATGAAGAGAGAAGAAAGAAGAGCAGAGAACGAGGAGGAGGAGAAGGAGGCGCCTCCTCGGTCGGCTGTCCCCCCCGGGCGCCCGTCCCTCTGACATGTGAAGATGTGGGCGCGGCTTCGTCTGGTCAGCGCCGGCTCAGGCTGGGGCTTCACGCCCAAGTTTGGCATGAACGGTCGAGGTGGGCGCAGGAGCACTCTTCTGCGCCATGCGCTCTGCTTGCCCGGTCCATCAGGCTCCCACTTTACCCCCCCGCCGCGGTATTCTATCAATCGGGCGCCTTCCCTCAACAGGAAAAAACGCCAGTGGTAGACCCGCTAGGTAGTTACAAGACGTGTGCATGTACCCCCTCCTCGCCCTGCCCCCCTGCGCCGGAGAGCCATGATGATGATGATGATGATGATGATGATGATGATGATGATGGTGATGGTGATGGTGATGGTGATGGTGATGGTGATGGTGATGGTGATGGTGATGGTGATGATGCTGATGCTGATGATGATGATGATGATGATTATCATGTTGTTGATGATGACGCTGCAGATGCTGATGCTGGTGATGATGACGATGATGGCGATGGTGACAGCGATGGCGATGACGATGACGACGATGATGATGACGATGCTGATGATGATGCTGAGAGTTAGTATGAGCGGGGCCGCACAACGTTGTGGCTCAAGCTTTTTCGGGGGCCAGGCGGCCCCCGGATGTGGCACCAGGCCGTCGCTTGGGCTTGGGAGGCTTCTCTGACCTATTTCGCCTCCTGTCCCAAGCCCCCTCCTTGTCCCACTTGCCCGCAGTGCCCCTTTGATACCGGCGCTGCCAGCGTGCCCGGCGTGCCCAGGAGCGCCTGCGCCTGTTTCGGCGCCGAGCGCTAGCGGCGGGCTGTCGGAGTTCCCAGACCTGCGGCTCCTGATCGCCTTCGCCAGCCTGCTGGTGCTGGCCAGCTGCGGGTGCCTGGGGGCGGCCGTCGTGACGGTGTGGGGCACGAGCTGCCCGCTGGGCCGACGCTCGAGGGCTGCTGAGCCGCGGGCAGAGGGCACGCCTCCCATCCTCGACCAGGAGGCCGAGCTCGGATCGCTAGCGCAGGAGCAGCTGAGCGTGATCCGACAGCGGCGCAGTCGCGTGTGAAGGTATGGCTGCGGCGGTGCCGCCGCCAGTGCAGGGCCTCGGGATCGAGGCCGGAGACTTCGGTGCTGTTCAGTATAATGTGCCAGGAGCGCCCTTGTACCACGAGCGGCTGGTTCTCATCGAACCCGGGGCTGGTACCACCGTGAGTGTGCTGACCCCAGACGGCGACAACTGCGAAGAGGATTGGTTGCAGGGAGCCGACATCATCTGGTTCGGCCTGATGGCTGGCGGCGCCTGTGGAGGTGGAGCTCCTCTCGGCGCTGGTGGGGCGGTGGTGCCCGTGTATCGGTTCCACCACGTGCCGACGCCTGCGGCCTTCCAGGCGGCTCGTGCAGTCGCTGCGGCGCGCAGGGGACTCCCCGTGCCCGCCGACGGCAAGCAGCCGAATCTGGCAGGGCGGGCAATCGGCGGCGGCGGCGCTGGTGGGATCGGCGCTGGGGCGGCTGCAGCAGGAGGAGGCTTGCCAGCCGCGGGAGCCGGAGTCGGAGCTCTGGCTGCGGCCCTGGGTCCTGCGCCTGTGGCCCCTGGAGCTGGCGCCCTCGCTGGCGCTGGAGGCGTAGTGCCTGCTGCCCCGCCGGCCGCTGGCGCGGCAGCCGCTGGAGGTGCTCTACCTGGAGCCAGGGCCGCTGTGGGCGTTGACGTGCCTGCTGCTGCTGGGCCACTTGTTGTGGGTCCTGGCGGTGTCCTCGTACCGGGAGGCGGTGGTTTTGGAGCTGCAGTTGCTGGAGGAGCATCGGTGCCTACCGTGGATGTGCGTATCCAGCCTGTCGGTCACGATGTTTCGGGAGCTCGGTTTAGAGAGTTTCGCCTCGCCGTCGAGGGCATGGTGGAGACTCCGATGATCGACTTCCCAGTGCGTGGTCCGAGGACCACATTGTGGCTGTGTCGGTTCATGGTGTCGAACGGCCAGACCCCTCTCGGCAGGCACGCTCGGTGGAAGGCAGACGCCAAGTTGCAGAACAACGATGGCGCGGTCGAGAACCATCTTATGTGTTGCCAGATGCTAGAGAGCTTGGCCACGTTCGATCAACTGAACCTGCCCGACATCGCTGGAGCGGAGATCATGGCCAGATCCATCCAGCTGTCCGAGGAGAGGTACCGAGACCGCATGCCCGGTTTTGCGGGCAGCAGTGGCGAGACGACGCCGGATGCCTTCCTGTACATGGGTCTCGATCATGTTCGTGGGAACGTGGCCGTCTGCCCGGCGCTGCAGTCCTGGGCGTCGGCCGAACTCCAGAAGGAGGTGCCCATCATGAAGGAGAGGCGTAAAGCTCGAGAGGAACGGGCCAGCGCCAAACAGAATTAGAACAAGACCAAGAAGGACGGAAAAGACGATGGCTGATCCGTCGCGGGCGGCGGGGCCAGGCCGACCGCCGCCTCTCGGGATGGAGGCCACCCCAGGTGATGCCCGCGCCTCGCCTGTTTCTTTTGTGCATATTTCTCCTCCTCCTGGTCTTCAGCTCGAGACCGACCCCTCTCACCCCCAGCGTGCGTCGCCGCCGCCTGGCCTCTCTGGTCGCGCGGGTAAGCGCCTTAATATTAATGCTGGCCGTGAGCGGGACATCTTTCCTTTGCCTTTTTTGCCGGAGGTATTGGGGGGCAGCAGCAGGCAGTTTTGCACCCGCGCCGCAGCGTGCAGAGAAGGCGCCGCAAGGTTCAGCATTACCGTGATTGGGCTAACGATGGGATCTCTTGTCTTAACCAGTTGTCTGGGGTGGATGTCCAGGGACGCTCTCATGGGCCTGAGAATGCGGGACAGCGGGATGCCATCAAACACGTTCGCGATTCTCACTCTGCCATTTCAGCTGCCCCCACAGATCTGGCTACTGGCGTGGGATCTTTACGCGAGATCTGCACCGCCTCAGGACTCTATGACGACGGGTCTGGGTCCACTAGAAGGCCGCACAGTCGGCGATTACTCGCCCTCCCCGACCAGGTACATGCCGCTTGTGTGACGACAATGTTGTCAACGGGGGATACCGATTGGCTGTGCGATTATCGGGTGAATTTGCTTAGGGACGTTAATGAAGCCAAGGCCTTACATCAAGAATTGGGTCCGAAGGAACCATATGTCGACCCCTTCTGGAAAAACAACCCCAGGGCCTACTCCGACTTTCTCTCCCTCCTCTTCGATCGCGGGATGCTCGACTGGACTTTGGCCCCGGAGACGCCCCATACGCTTGGAGTGTTTTTCGCTGCCAAAGAGGATGGGGGGATTCGTGTTATTCTCGACACCCGCGTATGTAACTACTCATTCAGGGACCCACTATCTACCAGGCTGCCGACGGCTTCGCCCCTCAGTCAGGTGGAGTGTGATGGGCCTGCGTTTGTGGCCACAGGAGACATCAATGCCGTGTTCTATCGGTTGTGGTTGCCATCCTTTTTGCGTGCTCACTTCAGGCTGCCGCACATAGCTGCCCGACATCTCGGTCTCAAGAATTTGAACGGGCGCGCCCTCCACCCTAATACACTGATCGCTCCTCAGCTATGTGTGTTACCCATGGGTTGGTCGTGGTCACTACTGTTGTGTCAGAGTGCGGTCAGACATGCCATCTCCTCCGCTAACATCCCCACCTCCCTCACGGTCCTGGACGGTCTCCCGGCGGTGGTGGTTAAGGGAGCCGATGTGGCGGTTGCAGGGTACGTTGACAATGTTTGGACAATCGGGACGGATAAACCCTCGACTGGCAAACTCCTGGGAGACATTCGACAGGTTTTGGAGCAGAAAGGTCTTATGCTTCACGAGGTGGGGGAGGGCGCCCAGGATTTAAGTTTTCTCGGCCTCCAGCTCACTGGAGGAGACAGGCTCTCGATAAAGCACCGCAACCTGTGGCGCCTACGCTACGCTATCGAGGCGGTGCTGCGACGGCGACGCTGTAGTGGACACCTCATGCGGGCACTCCTGGGACATATTACTTGGGCCGGGTTGATCCGCCGGGGGGTTTACAGTGTTCTCCAGGTCAGTTATGCGTTCGTGTCCAAAAGTGGCCCCAGGGTCGCGGAGATCTGGCCAGCTGTTCGACGAGAGCTTTGGACTGTCAGGTGTCTACTACCGCTACTGAATGTGCGCTGGACTGCAGGCTGGCATACGACTGTGCTGGCTACAGATGCATCGACTTTCGGTCTAGGGGTGTGTACTAGACAGGCCGAGGCTTCTCACGTTGGTGCGATCGGTCGGATATCCGAAAAATGGAGATTCAAGGTTGAGCAGTGCATCGACGCGCGCAACCACGCGCTCCTCGACCCCGTGGACCCCCCGACAGACCCTCAGGATCTCGAGCCAAACGATCCCGGCTGTGACGACGGCGACCTACATACTGGCGGCGGCGACGGCATACTACCTGGTCAGGGAGTTACCGACGGCGACGACGTACGTTACGATGGCTGTGAAGGTTACGCCAAGGGGGTCGATTTCAAGGTCCTCGACGGGGCCTGGAAGTCTGGGGGTGAACATATGTATAAGTCGAGTAAGCCTGAAAACACAATAGAGGATCTTGCCGCGTCCTTCGACGAAATCGATTCTGAATTTATGAATGACAAGTTTTGGAACACCGTGGTGGCTACTAGAGTACGACACCGTTCAAACATCTTGGAGCTCGAGGGAGATGCTCTGGTCCTAGGTTACCGTCACATTCTCAGGACTGGAGGCGCCCGAGGCTCCCGGGTGTTGGCTATTGTTGATAATCTTCCGCTTTGTCTGGGCGCCGTCAAGGGTCGGGCCCGATCCTCCTACCTTCTCCGACCTCTCCGACGTATCGCGGCCCTCTCGATGGCCACTGGTACACGACTGTATGTGAGATGGGTTCCCTCAGAGCGTAATCCAGCCGACAAGGGGTCCCGGGGCCAAGTCGGTTTCTTTGCAGGCCCGTCTTGGCTCGAGGTCCACAATAAGGCTCCAACCGACATCCAACTCCAGCAGCCTCCCGATTCCAGATGCCCACATGCCGAGGGCCAAGGGGAAGCCGGCGACTCCGCGCCAGCTTCGGGCCTCCGCCAAGGCAGGGAAGCTGAAGAGGGAGAGGTCCACTCGAGCTCAGCAGGCCGCCGCGAAGGTGGTGGCCACTGTCGCTTTCCCGTGGATGAGCGTGCTGAAGAAGATTGCGGTCAAGCCCGGCACCGTGGCATTGTACCAGAGGACCCTTCGACTCTTCTTGGAGCACTGCCAGAGACGGGGCCTAACATGGGCCTGTCACGACGAGCTGGACACCATCGCAGTGGGTTACCTGAATGCGATGTACCTGGAGGGCCACGGGGCCGACGAGGCGAGCCGGCTGTTGGCCGCGCAGGGCTGCGTCTTCCCGGAGCTCTACAAGAGGGCCCGTTTAGCTTTGCCGCGCTCGACACGGTGCGCCGTCAGCTGGAGCCGACGTACGCCAGCCCAGTCACGCCTGCCGCTGCCGCGGCTGGCAGCGCTCGCGATCGCGGGCGGGATGATCATGCTGGGCCTCCCAAGGATGGCGATCCTGGTTGCGGTCTCGCACGCCTGCTACCTTCGCCCCATCGAGGCCATGGCCCTCCTCGGCAAGAGCATCGTGGCTGCGGTGCCAGTGGCCGGCGCGGGGTACACCATGATGGGACTGGTCTTGCACGAGGCCTCGCTCGGGGTGCCAGGGAAGACGGGAGCCTTCGACGACGCGGTCACGATCGACGACCGCTGGCTGTGGGAGCCCCTGATCGGTTTGAAGGCCGCCAGCCACGCCGAGAGCACGCTGTGGGATTTCAGCAGCGAGCTGCACCGCGAAGTGTTCAGCGCGGTGGCGGAGGGTCTCGGACTGGGGCCATTCGATCCGCATCCGTATCAGTTACGCCACGGTGGTGCGTCAGAAGATCTGGCCTCGCAGAGACGAACCTCCGAACAAGTCATGAGAAGAGGGCGGTGGACGACAACCACCTCTCTCAAGCGCTACGGCAAGGAGACAAAGTTGTTGCGAGTAATCAACCAGATCTGTCCGTCCGTCTTCGGCTTCGGAGGCGAGGTGCTTCAGAATTTCAGCCTCGCCATCCAACGAGGTGTCGGAAGCCGTCAGAATCAAGTAGCAATGCCAGTGCTTCTGGAGACAGGGGTCAGGCGCGAAGTAGCCAAACTACACGTCGAACTACTGCGCCTGATCCCAGCCCTCCGCCCAAGGTGAGCTCCAGTTTACAGGTGAGCAGGTAACTTCAACGCCTGCTCAGCCGTGCCCAGAGAAGTGCGCCCCACAACCGACGGGTTATTTTTTCTGGAGCTCTTCGCCGGGGATGGGGGCATTGGCCGCTTCAGGAGATCCAAGGGCTTTCCTGTGCTTAGTTTGGATATCCGAACCCACCCGCTCCAGGACCACCTCCACCCTACGTTCAAATCAACTGCGAGAGGCTGGATCCGAGGGGGCGTTGTGGGCGCAGTCTGGTTGGGTACACCGTGTACTACTTGGTCTATTGCTAGGCGACCCGCTATCAGAGATAATAACAACATCTTGGGTCTCTCAGGGCTTACTCCTACTCAACAACTCCAGCTAAATATTGGTAACGGTACGTATCTCTTCTCTACTCAGATTATCCGCTTGGCTATCCGTCACAATACGCCTGCGGCGCTCGAGAAACCCGGTACTTCGATGATGTGGCGAGCGCCGCAGTTGTGTAGTCTCTTACGCCACTCCAACTGTGCCGTGCATGCTTGCGATATGTGCCAATTCGGAACACGCTGGAAGAAGCGGACCCGCTTCGCCCTGTGGAATGCGGGTACTTGTGCAGGCATCAATCGTTTATGTCGACCGTGCGGTAAGATATGTTCACAATCCAGGAAGCCTCACATATAATTGACGGGTAAGACGGATTCTCGCAGCCGCCTACCCGACCAAATGTTGTGCTGTCTTGGGTCAACACTTTATCGACATTATGTTGAACAACAAAACTATGAGACTAAATGATATGTATGGTGTGCGGCCTGCGGCCAGTTGACCAGTCGGGATGGGGTGACGGAGGCTCGGCCTCGACGACTCCGCCGTTGCCACTCGTGAGCCCGGCTGCCTCACCTCCTCCTGAGAAAAAGATGTCCCCTCTGGCCCTGTGGGTGCTCACGGTCACTGTTTGGATGGAATGCAGGAAGTGGGAGTTAGTATGAGCGGGGCCGCACAACGTTGTGGCTCAAGCTCCCACCCTGTTCAGTCACTGCCCGCCCTGTTTTCGCCCTGTCACTGTTCTTTTTCTCTTCTATCCCAGGGGTGACGGAGGCTCGGCCTCGACGGTTCCGCCGTTGCCACTCGTGAGCCCGGCTGCCTCACCTCCTCCTGAGAAAAAGATGTCCCCTCTGGCCCTGTGGGTGCTCACGGTCACTGATAATGATCATGGTGGTGATGATAATGATGGTGATTATTATGCTGATGCTGATGCTAATGATAATGATGGTGCTGATTGTGATTATGATTGTGATTATGATTATGATGCTGATTATGATGCTGATGCTGATGATGATGACGATGCTGCTGCTGGTGATGATGATGCTGATGATGCTGATACTGATGCTGCTGGTGATGATGCTGATGATGCTTATGATGCTGATGCTGACGATAACGATGACGATGACGCCGATGAGGATGATGCTGCTGATGATGATGCCGATAATGTTGCTCATGCTGATGCTGGTATTGATGTTCATGTTGATGCTGATGCTGCAGATGCTGACGATGATGGCGACGATGACCATGACGCTGACGATGACGATGACGACGATACTTATGATGATGACGATGACGATGATCATGATGATGATGATGATGATGATGATGATGATGATAACGATGCCGATGTTGACGACGACGATGATGCTGATGATTATTGTGACGTTGTTGAGTGTGTTGCTGCTGATGCTGATGCTGGTAGTGATGATGATGATGATGATGATGACGATGGCGATGGCGATGACGATGACGATGACGACGATGATGATGATACTGACGATGAGTATGATGATGATGCTGATGATGATGATGATGATGATGATGATGTTGATGATGATGATGGTGATGGTGATGGTGGTGGTGATGATGGTGATACTGATGATGTAGATAATGATGATGTTGCTGATGATGATGATGTTGAGGGTGATGATGGTAATGATGCTGATGATGATCATGATGATGCTGATGATGATGCTGATGATGCTGATGCTGATGCTGATGATGATGCTGCTGCTGATGATGATGCTGATGATGATGATGATGATGATGATGATGATGATGATGATGATGATGATGATGATGATGATGATGATGATGATGATGATGATGATGATGATGATGTGGGGGGGGAGACACATCTTCTTGCCCCCTTCTTGCCCCCTTTCAACGGGGGGACACACACCTCCCTCTGGCCTGCTTTGCCCCGGGGAAACCTCCCCCGTCCTCTCCTGGGCGGCAGTTGTGCGTGAGACGGGGCGCGATCTTGTGCGCAGGAAGGGTGTCGGGGCTTAGGGGGTAAGGATCGGGTGTTACGGTCACAAGAGCTTGCCGGGATCAATTCCTCCCGCCCTAACCCCGTCCCAAAAGATCGACCTCCTCAACAATGTGAACGGGTCAAAGCGATCCGAATTCATTTGTCTTTTGACGCCTCCTGTGGCGACGAGGACGGTGAAGATGAGAATGTGGATGACGCCGCTGTTGTGCTCAGGATAAGGCGGGAGAAACCACCCCGACCCCCATTGTTGGCGTGTACTAAACGGCCCTCGGCGTTCTCTAAAGGGCCCTGCCCTCTTCGGCTCCTTTCTTATGGAGGTTTTTCAGCTATGACCATGGTTTTAGATTGAAGAGTTAGGGCTGTCGGGTTAGCGTCCATGCTTAGGGTCAGAGTCTTAGAGTGGCGGTGTGAGGCGTGGGGCCAGGATGTTGGGTTGAGTGTAACATGTGTTAGGCTTACCTCTAGCATGTTAGGCTTAGCGTGTTTGGCTTAGGCTGTTCGGGTTAAGAATCATGCTGAGGGGTGGGGCATCATGGTCGGGCTTTTAGGGCTGGGGTCAGGGTATTTGGGGCATGTGGGGTGTCATGGGGGTTATGCTAAAGGTTTAGGGGTCATGCTTAGGGTCAGAGTTCGTGTGTTACGCTTCGTGCTCAGGCCTGAGATTTCAACGTCAGGGGGTTCGGACGCTTGGCGCGTTGAGGCTCGGATCTGATAGAACCTGGGTGTTCGGGTTAGGCTGTGTTGTCAAGGCTGAGGCGTAGGATGTTCGGATTCGGCGTTGAAGGGTTCGGTTTCGGGTGTGGGGGGTTTAGAGGATAAGGTTTGGGTATCGGGGTTCGGGTAAGTGGTAAGGAGTCGTGTCGTAGGGATAGCGGTTCGGATTGGGGGTTGTGGGCATGTTTGGATTTGTAGGTTCGGATTGGGTTGTTCGAATTTGAGGGTCGCCGCTAAGAGGCGAACGTGGGGTGGGGTCCCGACCAGAAAGTGGAGGGGG